TTGCAACGTCTTTCAGCGGTTTCCTAGTTTCTAGTTCCCGCGCAGCATTAACATTCTCAAACAATTTTTCGCGTCAATTAATTATCAGTCAGAATTTTTTCTCGAGTGTCTCTATGTTGTTTCGTGCAAGTATCTTAACCGTCGGATATGTTCATGTTGTCCTTTCTTCGTTTGATATTCATTTACCTTGTTTGTTTTCATTGCAAATTACTGTTATATAAAAGCGTTACCTCCTTCAAGTATTCTACATGATGCTTTGTGGCCGTAAATATGAGGGTCTGTTCACTTGGTTTGATCACGTTTTGAAGAATGTGCAATAGCACAGCTAAACAAAACGACGAAATAAAAAAGAAGTATTTCTAATATCAATTACCATGATCCATCAGATAATTTACACGTGCTATTGGTCTAGACTTGATGACCACTTACACACCATCTACGACTGTAAAATATTCGAAAATAAGCTAATCAGAATGTCTTTGAATTGAATCCCTCAATTTTATTGATCCATTCATGGGTCTCAAATTAGTCTCTCTCTCATTAGTCAACTGCATAAACGAGCCGAATTCGTATTTGTTAAATACTGTATGGCACATGTCAAAACACTCACGTCACCAAAATCTCAAAACTAATTCTACAAAAGACTGTTAGCTAATAGAGACTATTGATATAATGAGGTGAGTCTGGCCATGATTCTTACCTGGTTTATCGACTGATCTCACCGAAAAGAAAGCCAGCTTAAAAAAAAAGAAGAAAAGAAACACCGTTCGATAAGAAAGACATTTACAAGAAATGTTCTTAAGAAGTCATCACACTGAAGTGTACACATTTGGGAGAATGAATACACAGTAAATTCAATGTGAGTCGATGAAACAGCATCACTTTAAGGAGACACATTAATCTATTGACCCGTATGAAGGACTAGCGTCTAATTTCTCCTTCCAATATCAACATCAATCACCTTGTCAGCGCCGTAGGAAATGTATGGAGAAGAGTGCATACTGCTCTTTCGATTAGTTTGAAAAGCAGGAGAGCAGAATAAATAAGTTCATAGGTTGGAATGTCTAATCGTCAGATAAAGAAAAATCAAACATGTTATCACAATTGCATCAACACTTTCTGCTAATTCAACGAGTACTAAAATTCTGTCAAATTTTATTTACTTCTTATCTAGCTATCAGATCATTTCTGGGGTAATTTACAAGAATTTCTTGCTCCTGCAAAGAGCAGACAAATTGGATCAATAAATTTATACGGTATCAATACGATGACCAAGAGTGAAATAATACCTTGAGCTGTTCACTAAGTTTGGAGTCAACATCCAGTCTTATAAGCACAGGATCAGTCAAGCCTAGCAAAGATGAGTAAATAATTTGTATTTATTGACTGAGAGGGAGGGCAAGAGAATAACAAGTTCTCAGACTTATCAGGTAGAAGTTGTTATCTTGATCTAAAATCAGATTCTTGTAACTAATTTAATGTGTACTAGCTATAGGGAAGAATTGACAGTCAGTTCTTGGAGTTTAGGAGTTTAACTATTAAAATATTATAGAGGCACACAGTCAGTCAGTTCGGCTTCATGTAGGCTGTGGCAAGCATTCAGTTGATAATCAGAGTCTGAGAAAGAAGAGCACCCAAGGAAGTTCATAATGACAACTGAAGCCAAAATTACCTGCTTTGGTAAAATCCACCAGTAGCTTTGGAAGAGTTGCAGAAAACAAAAGAGTTTGCCTTAAAGATAAACAAATGCTCACTTCACTAAAGCCAAATATTTCTGCTGCCTCAATATTTCAAATACAGATAAAAGAGGCCCGAAGAGGAGTTGGAGAATCCAACTCCAAACTAACAGTTCAACACACGTATCGAGTTAATCTCTTTCTTTTTAATTAATCTTAATTTCAATATAATTATATAAAATTTAACAAAATTATATTACATATTTTCATAGGTATTGTTTTATTTTTGTGGGTTACTTCCAAATAGCACTATTGCCTTCCTGTGCTTTTGTTACCAATATATTCTATTAAAAAAATTTAATATGAATGTGTATAGCATAACCTTTAGTCATTATTGTAAAACATCTTTGTAAAGTGTAATTTAAATTGTAACAGAACAATTTGCAGCTGAAGATGGTGTGAGAAATGTTAAAACATGTCTTAAAAACTTGAAAAAAATAATAGAATAGAACTCAAACATCAGTTTGGTCTTTTCTAATTGAATCTAATTATCATCACCATCATCACTACCACCACAACTCTTTGTTGCAGAGGCAAAGGACTTCATGATTATACAGTCTGTTTTTTAATCTTATCAAAGGTAGAGAATGATGTTCTATTTTATATCTTAATGATCATTACCCTTAATATCATTCACTACATGTTCTGATGTGTCACATTGAAAGAAAAAATGAAAAAAATATGAGAATCAATTGAAATGATGAGTCAATTAAAAGTAAGCTTTAATCCATTCAATAAAGAATAACAAGCTTATCTATGTACAAGCCCTTTGAATGCTTTAAAGTACCTGGAGTCTGGAAGACGGTTCAGGATTTCATGAAGTTGCTGGGCAAATCCCATCTCAAAGAGCCTATAAGTACAAATTAAACATTCAAAGCATGAGTTTAAGTCTGGAAATATTACCCTCAGTAATTCTATTACTAGTAAATTTGCTCATAACAAATGAGCATGGAATAGACTGAATGTTGACAAGATAACAATCCATTGACACTGCTTTCAATTGGTGGCTATTTCATTCACAAAATAAGCTTCATGACTGCAAGCTTCATGAAAAAAGAAACAAATCTCTGAAATGGGACAACTCCTATCGATTGAAACCACTAAAACAAACCATAATATAGCCATAATATGGGCAACTCCAATTTATTCTGACCAATGGGAAACCTCTAACATGGAATCAGTTCATTTTGAAAATAATTAAAGGAATCCTGATTCCCTTTGTAGAAATCCCACAACAGGGTTGAGTACCTTTTCACACCTTTCATTGTCAGCTGGAAAGGCAAGCCATAAAACAAGATTGCAAAAATGTTACAGAAAGAGGCAGTTTAGGTGGTCTGCCCCCTAAGTGGGGAGTTTATGGCCATAGTTTTTCTGGTAAAAAGAAGGATGGGGGGAACAGATGAACTGTTATAAACTTAAAACAGTTGAACAATTATGTTGTCTACCAACACTTAAAAAAAAGGAGGGGCTACATTTACTGGAGCACACCAGAAGGAAGATTGAATGATAAAATTTTATCTAAAAGATGCCTTTTTTACAGTGTCAATAGCCCCTCAGTCTCAGTACCTCCTTCATTTTATTTATGGGGGTACAAGATACCAATTTTGGTGCCTTCCATTTGACTTGGGTCCACCACCCCCTTTCTATTTACCAAGTTTTAAAACCAATTGTAACCTTCCTATGAAGACAGTTGTACTCAAGAAGGTATTGCACTGCAGGGGCTTACAGCAGCACTTGGAAACAGCAGAGTAACTGGTGGGATCAAAGGAAAATGTATCCCTATTTCTCCATGGTGGCCTCTGCAGCTGACTACTTTACAGGGCTGGGTAACAAGGGCACCATTAACAGCCATAGATCAGTCATATTGGCATTTTACACGCCCACTGAGGGTGGGGCAGCATGAGTTGATATGTAAGGTGGCCGTTGCTTGTTTCATAGCCAATCTGCCACAACCCAGGTATGTGGTGACTTGCGATGTCAATAAGATGCTGGACTACATCCACTCTCTCGTGGATAGCTCTACTCTATCAGATAAATGTTTGACCCTACACCTATCAAATTTCTGTACATAAAATTCTTCAAATTTAGATACTGTGACCCAAATCTTTCTTGGTATGCACAAGCCAATTTCCCCTCTTTCTATTCCCATATCACATTTCACCTCAGAGTGGCTCAAGAATATCTGCAGTGTAACATGATGATCGTTTGTTGACAGGGTTTTCTCCTGCTTGCATCTGATGACAAACCTAAAAGTTCTCTACCTCAAAAGGGTGTACTGCAGAGCGCACTTTACAAGACTGCAAGTGTTTTTAATTGATTGAAATTGAAGATAGGCGGCAGTGTATTCCACAAGTTTTCTAAAAAAAACTCAGGATTACTTTTGTCCACAAGAGTGTTTCTGGTGATCCAGACACTGTTGTCAACATAACATAACTGGATTCAATCAATCAGCCAACTAACTTAAACTGTTCCCACAGTTCTTGTTTCACATCATGTACCACCAATTAGACTTGACACGTACCTGTCAGCCTCATCAAACACAACATATTCCACCGATGTAAGTTTCAGGTCCATTTCCATCACAACATGAAGAAACCGTCCAGGAGTGGCTACGATACTGTTAGATGCAAAAAGGAGACACATTTAAATTCCACTTGATAATAACAAAAAAAGAGGAAAAAGCTGTTCTTAGTTGCAGTGCTGTCTTATTTTTATTTCTGATGTACATGTTTACATTTGATTATTGGAGATTGTGGATCATAGGAGAAGCTTTCAAGTCTGAACCCTTGAACTCCTAGAAGTGATTACCTTGTAACTTCTTCCTATAATATCCATACATTAATATCCAATAAAGAAGTAATGAGAATACTCATAATCAGGAAAGAATTGTTATCATGATCTAATGCCAAATTCTCATAACTAATTGACATGGAATTGTGCAGCATCAACTAAGGGGAGAACTAACAACTAGATCTTGAGAGTTAAAGGGCTAAATCAGTAAACAGAAACATGCGGAGCAAATACTTACATATCTGGATTTCCATGCAATGCAGCAAACTGACCTTCCAAACTGAAAGCAAAATAAAAATAAAAAATTAGGTGGCAATGTTATCTTGAACAATTTAATTCATAACTGGCAGTTCCTAAAATTACATACTGAGGCAATCCCTCTGAAAATAACAACTAGTACAAGACTAGTACTAGAATATCATGAAAAAAAAATTGTAGTGCAAAGTGCTACAGTGTGTAATGAGGATACAGAACATTAATCATGCTAATAATTCAGACTGTTTTGATGAACTTTTTAACATCTCCAGAGGGAGACAATTAATATACACTGTACTCACCTGTCTCCACCTAGCACAACAGCAGCCTTCAAGCCAGTAAACCTTCCCAGCTGAGAAAAACAACAGTTTTAGGAAATGTTTCCCAGAAGAATTGACCAAAGAGTGTTACTGTATATCAAATATAGTGAAAGAGTAAAGCAGAAACTCCCATCCCTTAGGTGAAACTCCCATTTTTATAGACTAAAAACTAACATCTCAAGCTAGCTTATGGGGCCAATAACTTTCTCACACCCAAAAGATAAATTCCAGCCATAACAGCAATAACTAAGACTTTTTCTTATAAAATATTCAGTTGTGGAAGGGAGTCAGAGCTCTAGATCTAGAGACAAAATGTTTGGCATCTTTTCAGAAATGTTCCAAACATCTTAGGAAATTTTTGGCAATCCAATAGAATGTGATTGAGTTTTCTTAAGTTAGAAAAAGCTAACACTCCATGAATCAAGCTCTGAACAGATGGGCCCATTGGCTAGAGAAAAGTCTTCATCTGGCTTATAACAACAAAAAACCTGTCAACTTCTTAATTTGTCCCAACCTCTTTGGTGAATTTCAGGGTCTGGAGGGCCAGCTCACGGGTTGGTGATAGGATAAGTCCTCTAGCGCCAACCTGACAGAGAAATTAAAAAAGGTGATTGACATTTTTTAGATAAACCACACTTCTTGCATTCTTGTATAACAATTCAGACCATGCAGCTTGATTGTCCAGGGAATGGCAGCATTGAGAAGGACTGTTGTCGGCAGCAGTGGCTAACTTTTGACAAACAAACCAAACAGGACAACCTCTCATTACAGATGGATTGAAACTGACCAATAATGACCAACTTTTTTTAACTGACTCAACTTTAATTCAACTGAACTGACAACACTTCTCTAGATCCAGACTATGACTTTTGCTGAGGTTGTTGAAATGTCTGTCAACACCACCCACAATAGTCCTTCACAGGATTACTCTCTCAATCAAATGTTACCTTCAGGTTCAAACTGTCAGCTGCAGACATGCTCCAAAACCAACCAACTAAAGGCAACTTTGCTTTACACCCTAATATCAGTATGAATATTCTCCATACTGTTCCCGATACATTTCTTAAGGTACTGACAAGGAGAATTTGTTTAGCAATCAGGGGTTCCATTTGTTGGTGATCATTTCCTGTATTCTTGTTACCTCAATGTGTGATTCAGGGGGGCTGTGGTAAGGGGAAATTAGATGAGTCACTTTTTGGGGTCAAAAAGTTAACTAACAAGAAAGACAGCTTCAAGGTCACTTTTGAGAGTCAGACAATTCATTGATATTATAAATCAAGTTATTTATAGACAAGGCTACTTGTAATAGTTCACAGCCAATGAACTTTCCTTTCCCCTGCAACATTCAACCCATATTTCTTCAGTTTTCAACTAGAGAGGCTGCTTAGTGTGGTATTATTATGTACGGCAATGTTGGTACTGAATGATACTGTACCTTCTAAATAAATACACTATGTAATGATGATTAAGAGTTTATCTATATGGAATTCAAACACTACCTTAGCTGAATGGGCCTTGAGTCTTTCAAACATTGGTATCAAGAAGGCTGCAGTTTTACCAGAACCTGTCAAGAAGGTGAGAAAAGTATTTTTTAAAAAAGCAAGTTTTACTACATGTATGTGCACATTCATTGAAATTCCAATATCTCATATTTTTGCTGACTCAAACCTTGTGCTGAATCAGTTTACTCTGTATTTCCTTGATACATTTTATCTATTATTTTGTCCCCTTCCCCTCTGCCAGTAGCTAGAACCATTGCTGACTTAGCCTTCCATTAACTCGCAGCAACTTGGTTAACCCGTAAACTCCCAGTTCAAATTTGTCATTCTCCTTACTGTCAACCATACAATTCTTATGATGTTAGTTCAGAGAGTTTAGTATTGGATCAACTAATTATCCCCAAATTAATATTTTTCTTTATTCTCATCACTAATTTGGTTGATATTGTAAGGAGAAATTCTGTCTTAGACACTAATGGGAGTTAAAGGGTTTACCAATCAGCAGTTTTCTATAGTGACAATATTTGTTAATTCACAAAGAGTAAGAAAACTGTATTTAAAAAATTCAACCATAGCTTACAATGCCAAAAATTACTTGAACTCCCTAAATCTTATAAAATCATGTGTGTCATTTACCTGTACGTGCCATGGCCACCACATCCTTCCCATCCATAATTACTGGTATTGTCTGAAGGAAGACAAAAATGGATTTGAATTTCGCCAATATTTAACTCCTTTACAAAAGCTACCCTGTTACAAAACCTTGAATATATACATGTACAAAAACTGAACTTTTTTTTTTTGTGGTAATAAAAAAGGTACTTGTGAAATATATACTAGATGAATAGACTCTCAGTAATCAAGAGCCACATGATAAAGAGTTAATGGTTTTCACCTATGCTGCTAATGATGCCAATGATGTGCACACACAAATACATGCATATATAGAAGAACTTCTTCTTGGATTATACTGTATTACACATTCCTGGAGTTGTGATCACGTATGGACTAACAATATTTAAAGCTTCTACTAGGGTGAACAGAAAAATCAAAACTTTGTATGATTAAGAGGAAATTTTCATGCAGTTATATGCAATTTAATGGAGTTAACAACGAAGAGCATCGGCATTCTCTAGTAGTAAGTGGTTTTCTGCATATACGCATGGGTCAGAATTCCATTTGCTCTTTGATTGAGGTGTTCTTGCATGTGCTTTGAGCGTAAACTTGCAACATTGTGAGGAGTGGTAGCTCATCATCCAGGCAGTTTTCTCTGCCTCTTCCTTCCCTCTTTCCACTGCTTATTCAGTGTGACAGGTGCCTGTCTCCCTTTCCTATATCAGCCATGGGAGAAGTATCCATCTAGGAGCTGGCTGCCAATAGTGGAAGCTCCTGGATGTCACAGGCACCCAACCTCCACTTTGCAAAGCAGTTGTTAACCAGAATTGTAAGACAATGTGCAACACCTCTTAATATTTAAAACCCATGCATGACTATGAAAGGATTTTCTCATCATAAGATCATGACATTATCAAGTAGACAAGTGATAAGAACCAAGAAAATGTCAATCAGGGGATTATTAGTTAATCTGATATCTAATTCTCCAAACTAACACCGTAAGAATTGTGTCACAGACAGTAAGGAAGATTACTACTGAGATCTTGGGAGTGAAATCGTGAAACATCTTTAAATTGCAATCATGATAATCACAGACTGGACCTTTATTTGAAGGAGAATCATGCAGATAAAAGAGCAAAGGCCGATGAAATTTAGCCAGAAAATTTTCTGATTTCCAATGCCTCATAAAAATCCTGCATTTAAAGATGTAGTAGTAATAATGACACAAACCCAAATGCATAATTCCTCATTAAATTCAATGACCAGAAGACATACACTTATAATGTTAACTATTAATCACTACTACTATTATCAATCTTGGTTAGCTACATGTAAACCTACCTTTCTTTGAATAGGCGTGGGAAGTTTGTAGCCTTTCTTCATAACTCCTTTAAACACTGGGAAACTTAAGCCTGTAGATATAAAGATAAAGTTTACAACAGTACTCCTCAAATTCTGACTTGTTAACCTTTAACACCCAGAAGTAATTAACATCTAACTTCTCCCTGCAACATCCATATATTATCCAACAAACAGGTAAGGAGAAGACTCAAACATATCAAGTAGATGTTGTTTTGATCTAAAACCAAATTCTTGTAACTAATTTAAAAGGAAATATGTAATAGCTGGAGGGGAGAATTGACCATCAGATCTTGGGAGTTACAGGCTTAAAAAACTTCAAACCCTTCTTAACAAAAGTTACAATAAAAGAAAATGAATGTTCATAATCAAGGACAGGTAAAAAGAGGAATGTTTAAAAGGAATTTTGTATCCCTTGTACACACATCAACTTATAAATGGTCAAGCTGACCAAACAGAGTCTTTGAGCACTGGAGCAAGGTTGTGAGGGTCTGATGTCCAATTCCTCCTGGGGATGCAGAATTTTTGTTGTCCCAAGCTTGTATTAAGACATAAAGACATCTTTCTCTACATCTATCTTTGTCCAAAATATAATATTACTAAAAATCTTCAATACCCATAGATTGAAATCCTCCTGATTTTTTCTTCTTTTTGATGTGTTGAGTGACAAGTCCTCTGGTATCAAGTCCAGCCTCATCGTCAACATCATCATCATCATCTTCAACATCATTATGATGTCTTAAATCTTCATCTTGTTCATGATTATAGAGTCCATCAGTTTCCACCTAATATAAATACACACTTAATTTGCACACTTTACTCGTTTCATGACAAAATTTAAGAATAATTTGACCCAAAGTTAGCAAGTTAGTCAATCTACTGCCTACGATTGACTTAATTGTCACATAGAATGATAAAGAAGCTGAAGAAATTAAAACCTAGAAATTAAGGAAATTAAAGAACAACTGATAAATAAGTAAGAGGTTAAGAGGTGTGCAGTAGGGATTTGCAGAAGAGCGATGGAAAATGTATCAATTTCAGTCCAAATTTTGACATCGATACGCGCAGTAACATTCTTTCATAGGTGTATTTTTAACATGATAAGCATGCAACGTACGTAGTAATGTATCTATAACACGTGAATAATTTAGGGAAATCGAGAGAAAACTTACTCTCTAATGCAAGGTCCACCGAACTTCCTTTAAATCTCAGGCTCTAAGAATTTCCTCCTCGAAGTCGATGCAACGAAAAATAAACAAACAAACAAAGTTTACCTCAACAAACTCATCAGCCTCTTCGTCTCTTCTTTTCTTTCTCCTGAACTTCGATGGAAGATTGTTAGTTTTTTTCTTGTTCTTTTTCTGTTGCAAAGTTTTATTTGGTTTTCCCTTTGAAGAAACGAGAGACTTTTTCTTGGCCATGATACACAGCAAAATCAACTATTTATATTTGATTATCAACCACTAAGCGAAAATAAACCATTCAAATGTGAAAAAGTTGCGTTGCTACACTATTCAGTTCGTCCGCCATCTTACCATGCTTAAAGAGCCTGCGTTTAAACAGGATAGCGGAAGTGTGACATTTTTTAGTTATTTCATTGGTCAATGCCATGACAACGCAAAAAGAGTAAACCAATCACAGCCTGGCCGAGAAGGCGGCAAGCCCAAACACGCGGCAAACGTGTTATTAATTGTGACCTTCGTTAGTTACCATCGACGAAGAAACGTAACGAGTGTGAGCGTCGTGCTGGAGGAACTTTTTGTCAAACCACAGCATTGTACACTCTCGTAATCTAAGCACGATAAAGAAGATGGAGAGATGCCCATCGACTGTACAAGCAACTCCACCGATAGAGGACAATCCTTCCTTCACTCAGCACATTTTGTGGGCACCGAAGAAGAAGCGCTTGCATCGAAGAGTTATTTCATCAGAACTTCCTTCGAGCGCAAGAGCTCATTCACATTCGAAAATTAGAAAGCGCTTGATATACCCATCTCTGGAAGACGATGAGAGAAAAGAAGAAGAAGAAGAAAAAAGGCACCTGCTTGAATGTAAACAGGATTCATACAACGAGGAAAAGCATTCTTTAAGGACACCGGATTGTGCAGGAAACAAGCGAAATGATGTTCATCTCAAATTGTCGAAGCCAACGGATGCACGCGCTCAGCTGCTCAAAACTAACCACAAAGGCAGAAATGTGGATCCACAGCGCATTAAAAGGAAGTTGGCTTTAAGCAGCTTTCGTTGAAGACACGGAAAAAACTTTAAGTGAAAGAAACAGACATTAAACATTGCATAAAGTGCATGTCGTAAAGTTGTCGAATTTGAAACTTTGACGCAGTTAGAGACTGCGGAACTTTGAAAGCTATGCAATTTTACAGCAATTAATTTACGAGAACAGCGTTCTGAGAGCGTGCATCAATCTTTGCTGATTGACATTTAATTCAAACTGTTCTAAACAGTCGAGGAAATGCGGAATTTAATTTATTGTAAGCTGGACTTGCGATTGGCCGGTGCAATTATTTAACTTGCCGAAAGCTAGCTTTGCCTGCAAGTTTGGAAAGAAATACCTTTAGATAAGACTGGCCCAAAGAGACTTGTAAAACCATAAAAATTAATATATGAATCCTGTAAGTTTTAAATATCATGTAAAAATATGAAATTAATTACAGTGTATTTCAACAAATGGTGTCCCGGTAACTGCTAAGAAGTTCTGTTCCCCCATCTTGACAAAAATTTTGAGTTAGACGAAAAAAAAGGAGCCCTCATGTCGGTCTCTAAATGACGAAGAGCCAATAAAATATAAATCTCAGTGTGACTGAAACAAAGGTTGTCCATGGATATCTGTCATACTAATTTTCTAACAAATTTTCCACTGAAACAACATTAGTGCCATATGCCATAACAGTCACCATTTACCAAGCTCAAAATAATAAAATTAGCCTTTCACAAACAAATTCAAACAAAACAATGATTCCTAAGTTTGATTCCGCCAATGATTGCAATGGATCAAACCAAGGACAGAGAACAAAAAATTAACTCCTAATTAATTGCATGTTTCCAGGAAATATATTGCTTTGATTTGTGTGGGTGAATCTCTTTAACCCTTTAACTCCCAGAAGTAATTAACATAAAACTTCTCCCTACAGTATTCATACATTCTTCAGCAAACAGGTAATGAGAATATTCAAACTTATCAGGTAGAAGCTGCTATATTGATCTAGCACCAAGTTTTCATAAATAATTTACAAGGAATTGTGTAGCAGCTACAAAGGAGAATTAACAATCAGATCTTGGGAGTTAAAAGGTTAAAGTTGTTCAACTCTCAGCCCTTTACATAACCTTCACACCAACGTGTACATTCTCCACACTGCTTGTTACATATTTGCTAAAGTAATGACTAGGCGAATTTGTCAGATAATTCCGAGCTTCCTTAGCATGGGATCATTTTTTTTATTCTCATGACCTTAATATTTGATTCAAGAGTGGTACTGTAAGGAGAAGTTGGAAGCCAGTCACTCAGAGGTTAATTTACATGCTGAAACATTAAATTTCCTGATCCTCCAGTAATGAACTTTCTTGTGCAATTTGTGAATGATACAAAGTTTTAAATAAACAGTGAGCTATGGATGGAAAAAACCTAAACGACTCAGTCTTCACTAGCTGACCAAAGGTTTCCAATGGTCTTTACTCACAATGACTTCATGTGAATTGTTACATCATGAACAGTTGATGGCAAGGAAACTAGAAGTTTTATTTACTAGTGTTTATTGTCAGGCCAGAAAAGCCACTTACACTCTCCAATTTTAATTAACAAAGGACAAAACTGAGAACAAAATTGGAAGCAGTATTCCAAGTGAATATCTCTTTAATGAGAAAACCAAAATAATGTTACGTTTAAAACTTAATGTTGGCAGTGCAGCTATTTAATTTTTTGATATTTATTCACAAGCAATGCTTTCATAGCAAGAACTACAATATTATAATCTTTCTGAATCTTAAGGCCCAGTTGGTCAAAGGGTAGATAAACCCTATCCAAAGGATAAATCACCAACCACTGTGCTGTCTGCCATATGGAAATTTATCCAGAGATTAACATTATCCACCCTTTGAAAAACTGCGACCTGAACTGCAAAGTACAGCTTCACCACCATTATGTGTTGTCTCCCCTTCAAATTTTGCTATTCAAGAATGTGAAAACATTTGTGTTTACAAGAACAAAAATAATTATCAATGGTAAAAATTGTTCAACATCAAACTCCATATTCTCAAAATAAATTTCTAAGAGAAGCCATACAAAATCCTGAGCCTCTGATCATGTAAATTTGTCGCCCACATATGCAAAGATCCCACAAAATCGTTGCCTAGGAAACTATCTCAAAATGCTTTCACATTATTAAATTAAGCAAAATTTGTGGCATAATTTAAATCTTCATAATGACTAAAGGAAAAAATTACAACCCAGTGCTTAAAACACAGTGTATAAGAATACCCAAAGAGGGTATGACAGCTAAGATTCTAAGGCTGAAAGATGGTGGAAACTGTACCATCCATAAGCATGTTTGTATAAAAAAAAAAAGTGGTACCAATAGCCATTATAAAGATCATCTTTGCTTTTCTGCAGTAAAAGATATATGTAAAATCATTTATAAAATTTTTCTTCATTTCTTATATATTTCTGAAACATTTAACAAAATTAACAATATAACTTGTTCTCTTGTGTTTCTCAACCTCTCCCAGATCTTGAAACTTGCAAAAAATATTAAAGTTGAAGACACTATGGTCAAAAAAGATGCTAAAAGTACATAGCATAGTAGGTACAGTGATTCAAAAATTGTCTTGAATCAAGAGAAACACCACCACAACTATATTTACAATTATAACAAAAACAACAACAATAGTAAAAAAATTCACTCTTAGAGAGTCTTTTGGTTTCTTTTCTTTTCTTTGCACCCACTGAGTCACCACTCCACCCACACACACAGAGAGATGACTCAACACCCTCCCATTACCATGCCCATTTGTTTCTCAATTGCCTCACTATTTCTTGAATTGTCTTCCTTTCCCACTGTTTCTTTCTTTCTACTCTCTCTGTCAAAAATTTTACATGAAAAAAATGTGTGTTGGATAATTCAGGTTAAAACTATTAAAGTATTTCTGATCCATTGCCACTTGTTAAACTCACACACAAAAGTGAGGACCAGCAGTCACAGTAGTCACTAAAAATGGTTTAACCTTGAAATTATGCTTTCACTCCTTCTCCACAGACTATCACTCCTTTCTTGATGGAGTCCTCCAGTTTTGAAAACCACCTACAAAAAAAGCCAGAATAAAAATGGCTATTATTAGCTTTACTGGCTTTTTCATTGTTAAGTCAGATAATACAACTTTACAACCTAACATCACTATGTATATTCTCCATACTGTTCCCTATACATTTCCTTATGTGCTGAAAAGAAGAATTTGAGTAACAATCAAGAGCTTCTTTAGTTGCCATCATTTCCTTTGTTCTCCTGACATTAATGAGTGATTTGGCTGTGATATTGTAGGGAGAAATTAGATTCTAAGGGGACAATTGTGAATGGTTATTCCCCATTGCCAACCAGCGGTGGATCACAGCTGACATAAGATTGCACTAAGACCAAAAAAAATTGAAAATGGTGCATAGCTGCTGGAGAACATTTCACTGTTGATCATAAGTGTAAAGATTGAAAGATGACAACTGAAGACCTATCTGGCAAACTTGGACTGAACTCTTTACCCTCATAATGTCTCTCCCTTTCTCTGAAGGAAAGCATATACCTATATGGTGCTGGCATACATGTATGTTCAGAAAATTTGAATACATGAATCCCATCAAAATACCTCAAGCTACAGAGGAGCCATAAAACTCAGATATCATAACATTGCAATAATGTGTGACCCTAACAGCAAAATCCACAGGCCAACCATTTTGGAATTGATTCTCATGAATGATGTCATGATGGTATTTCACATCTACAACTAAGGTCTCCTACCTATTCCTGTCCATATCACTATCGGCAGCAAAAAAGTAAGTCCTATATAACGGATCTGTAGAAACAGCTTTAAAGTAGTATTTCTTTTCCTTCTGCTCTCCTATTTGAATTGTGTAGCCATGAAGCTTTGCCACGCCCAAGGCAACGGTGTTGGACATGTCAGAGTAGTAGTAGAGAAAGCCATCCTTGAGGACAAAATAGCGTTTCCTCCAAACCTTGATACCCTGGCCTTGCTTATGTAGGTAACCATGGCAATCAGGATCCCTGATTGATAGGGCAGGAATGCTAACATTGTGGACACTTCCTTCCGAAAGAGTGAATGGATTGGACTGCATATGAGAAGGAAAGAGGAATATATGATATGCATTGTTGACAAAGTTTGTTTCATTAATATGGTTGGATATTGGAAAAACCAGCAAACAAACAATCAAACATCAAAACAATGCCAAAAGCCAATAACCAACAGGAATCACTAAAAAAACCTCAATAAATCTCAGTCCATTCAAAGCTCATATTCTGTGACCAAATGTTTCTTATTCTATTTCTAAAATCTGAGGTGGCAGAAGGAGGTGGCATGCACAAACAAAAGAGCCTGTCAAATTCACTAGCTGCCAGCTCTTACTAAGAGCTCTGATAATTACTTGTGATATTTGTTATATAAGAGATTAAAAAAAACTACATACACTGCCAGATGACCCCTTGATTGCATCCATCATGGCCATCATCCACTTGCGCATGTCCACGTCACTACCTGCACACATGTAATATGTCCTTGCACCACCTTTGGTCAGCTTGAAGCAGTGGGGTTTGTTAATCTCAGGTGCTTTTGATATTGAGTAGTTTGCCAAGATGATTGCACCACAGGGTGATTTATCTTTTTGTTTGTTGTAGTAGTACAGGCAGTTGTCACTTCTCAACACAAACCTAATGCAAGCAAGTAACATATCAAGACATGTTTATTTGATTGCAGGTTCATAATAGTAATAGGATCATGTGGAGTCCATTTTGGTCTGAAATTATATGAGTGATTAACAAAAGCAGATGATCCCGAAGTGGGAGTCCAATTTGTAAATCAAGAGTATGATTACTGACAGAATTGGACTATGCAAAGTCCTAAATAAAGAAAGATGTTTTTTGTCTTGTCACCAGCATGGGACAAAGAAAAATTCTGAGTCCCCATCTGAGTCCCCATGAGGACACAAAGTCCTGTTACCAATTAATCAAAACAGTTACAATTAACAAAAATGAAATACTTTTGGGACAAATATCTCTGGTAGAGACAATAACTAAGTAAAAAATTACAACTGTACTGAATGATTAAAGAAAAAAAAAGCAGCTGATGCTCTAATCACATTTGAGGAGATTGTAATGGATATGATTAGAACAAAAATTAATTGCCATAGACTGTTTGCATCACACTCTTTCACTCTTACCATCTTTTCCTCCAGTTCTTTGGGGTTAAGCCGGATCCACCCATCTTCAACAAGTGTCCTCTGATGTAATCTAAACAACAACAAAAAATTGCATTGCATATGGTAGAAGAATTTAATCTCTTCTTTCCTGTTCCCTCTTATGCCTGATGGACTGATCATACATGTAAGGAAATGATTGTGTGGTGTGGTTGTCCATTTTCTGCTGTCAGCTTCCATGCATGACCTTATCAGAGTTGCATCAGAATGGAAAGTTTAAGCCTTAACACCCAAACATCAGTATGCATATTCTCCATACTGTTCTCCAAACATTTCCTTTTGAGCTGACAAGGAGAATTTGTTAAAAAATGAAGAGTTTATTTGATTTGTGAACATTTCCAATATCCTCATGAACTTAATGTGTGCAGATTCAGGAGTGATATTTTAGGGAGAAATTAGATGCTTGTAACGGGATCAAAGGGTTGAAATAAAAAAATCACATAGGTCAGCACTAACCCTCCTTCATTGATTTTCCATCAGGAATGTCACTTTTGGAAAAACTGTCACGGAAGTCTCTCTCAGAAACAGTTGATGAATCTGATGACAAGCGTTCCCTGTCTGTTTCCAGAAGCCATGACTTTCTATTAGAAGCTCCAGGATTGTCAGTACCAAAGGCATTATTCTCCTCATCATCTCCATAATCAGAAGGTGTGTCTGAATCTATCCCATCCTCATTTGATGCTGGTGTTCCTGGTCGACTGTTTGATGAGCTTTCCTCTGTTCCTGCTGATATGCCACTCTCGTCTGTTGTAATTTCAATATCAGGTATTGCTGCTTCCATGCCACTCCTTGCAACTTCCAAGTCAAGTTCATCTGCAGAATCTGACTTCTCAGTGGAGGCATTGTCAAGGTCATTTTTGCATTCCTGTCCTGTTACCTCTTGCGAAGGTTCCTCTGCATTACTTACTTCTCCTGATAATTCACCTTCTTGCCCTACATCTTCATGTCCATCTGCTGGGTTACTAGTCTCCAAGACACTGCTGTCTTCAACTTGTGAATCCTCACTGCATGGTAGAACTTGCTCATCAGATACAGCATTTTCCTTTTCAACGAGTGGTGTTTCAGTAATGTCCACTTCAGTCTCCCTGTTGTCATTATCAACTTCATCTGCTATCTTCTTACAACTCTCTTCATCTTTGTTTCCATTGTCAACATTTTCTGATGTAATCGCCTCAATGCATCCTTCTTTGCCACTTTCTTCTTCTATTTTCTTTTCATTTGATTGTTTCATCTGAGTCATTGCTGTACACAGTTGCTGTTCTAGCCCTGCTAGATCCTCCATGGCCTTTGATAAGCTCTTGGCAAGATCAGTAGTGGTTGAACTATCAACCTCTTGGACATCACCCGATGAAACATTAGCACTGTCAACACTATCAGTCTCACTACTTTCAGTTGTTTGTACTACAGTATCAATCAAACTCTTTTCTAAACTTTCTTCTGTCCTTACTGACTTACTTGTTGCATCTGGATTTGAGGGAACAACAACAGTTGTACCATTTTGATCAACTGATTTCTCTTCATCACAAATCTGATTAGATATTGCCATTTTTTCAGATGGTACCTCTGTAGCACCTTGCTCAGGTGCACCATGTGAATTTACCTCACCACTATCAGAAATGTACGATGCAGAACCACCTTCTACTCCATCTTTACCTTGAGGACAAGACTGTTCATTCTCACTATTGTTGGATTCATTAACAGGTGATGACAGATCTGAAGATTCCACTGCTTCTTCTTGCTCAAGTGTTCTATTCAAAGAATCCTTAAGATCACTTTCTGTTTTGTTCTGATCATTTTTTCCAGTTTGAGCATCAGTTTGTAGTTTATCAGTGATGCTATTAGAATCATTTTGCTCTAAGATGGAAGGATCAGAAGAAGCATTTGCTTCTCCTGGATTATTTGTTCCTTCCATTTTATCTTGTTTCTCTGCATCACTACTGCTGTCTTGAAGCTTCTGATCAGGAGGGTCAGAGGGCTCCCTTACTCCATCTCCAACTCCACTTATAGCATTAGCCTCCTCTTCTTGGAGTTTAGGATCATTAGCAATCTCCATAAAAGAATCAAACAATTCATCAGCAGCTATATCATCAGCAGATGATAATTCTTGTGGGGATTTTTCCTCAGGAGTTTCTCCTTGATTCATGAGACCAGTACCATCCTCTCTTGTTTCATCAGCCATTGCTCAAACACTCAAGTCAAAAAGCTGTATAAAAAAGGTAAATAAAAGATATCTCCATAAGGTGAGTCCTCAAATTTGCATCTTTCTTTCATTGAGCATCCTCTTTGGATAAGCTCCCCTCCTAATGACTGAAATTTTAGATTGGCTCCCCTACTTATGTTACCAAAATGATGATGTGGATGCATGGTAAGTTATGTCTGTACTCGAGGCAGGTGGTCTGTCCAGCCCCAGCTTATCTATAGCAGGAAGCAACTACGTGTATAACTACTCCCCCTTGGATGGGATGCCAGTCCATCACCAGGTTCCCCCTCTGCATTTCATCAGCCTTCCCAAGCAATTTACTGGTACCCTTTTAAACTCCTAGGTTGGGAGAGGCACTGATCTTTATGACTTTAGGAGGGGAGCTTATCCAAAGAGGATGCTCAATGAAAGATGAAAGTAACTAAGTGTTTTGCCAAAGAACGCAATGCAATGACAACTCCGCAAGGTCATAAACCTGGACCTCTTGACCCAGAGCCCAGCATACTAATCATAAGGTCACTGCTTCTCCCGATAAGGAGGCCTAGGTTATGTTTATATCCTTCCAGTCAAGCTTGTTTTATGATCACTAGTACTCATAATTACTCCTAACAACATGCACATAATTTCAAGGAAAGAGAACAATTTCTTTTCTTCCAAGTTGAATCCTTCAACATGCTGGTTTTCAATCAAACATTATTCTGTCTGTTGTTATTTTCTCTCCTCTCGTCAGCTCTCTGCTTCGCAGGACACTTACTAATGAAAGGAGAAATTACTTATTGGTTACTCCTGGGAGAGAGAGAGATAATTCAGTTGTGCCCTTGGCTTCTTGAGTGGAACCATCCACTTTTTTTAGAGATTCTTTCACCAGAAAAACTGACATAACACTGTACAGCTGGATTACCACTGTTGCATGATTTCTCATGTAAGAGAGCATGATTTACAAACTTTTCTCATATTCTCCCAACATCCCAAGTGGGTTATTTTGCCAGCAAAACTATAGGAAGTGCCGTTTATTGCTTTTATAAAATAACTTAAATGGGGTCACCTGTACAATAAAAGATAAGTTTTTGACCAATCTTCCTATCTCAGTTATTTTGAAATAGTGCCTATGCTGAAAATAAAGAGAGTTGTCTAATACACCCAGATTGAGTTGACTTCTCTAAGGGAGTTTACAAATCAACCAACCAGAAGTCAATCTGTGTTGATTCACAAGTTGCCTTGTGATGCCAGAAATCAGTTGATTTGATTCAACTCCAACTGGACAACTCATCTCAGTTGAAGTTGATAAGGATAAAGGGGTAAGTTTCTAAAGAAACTGTGGTGCTGCGTCGGTGGGAGAGTATAGCAGGTAATTTAATGTTAACAACTGGGTTGAAAACGTAAATTAGCCACCGTAAAGGGTAAAAAAGCTGATGTTTCGAGCGTTAGCCCTTCGTCAGAGCTGTCACATTTGGAAGTTGTTTGGCAGGACACTTGGAAAATATTCCACAATGTGCTAATAGGGATGGTTAAACATGTTGTCAACTTGACTCACATCAACATGAATGATTCATCTCCTTTTAAGTGAACCCATCATACCAGAAGTTAATTTGCAAGACATTTAGAGTATATTCCGCAACCTACTATGAGGGAGGATTGAAAATGTTGTTGAGTTGACTCCATTCAACTGAAAATCGCATGATTTGTCTCATTTGTCATTCTGCAAGTTGCTACATTGAAAATGTTGTCCAATCAACTCAATTCAACTTGACTTTTTTGAAATTGAGAATTGAACAATTCATCTCCTTTAGAACCTGAAGCATACCTGATGTTTAGTTATCAACACTGTAGCCATTGGCTTCGCACAATTTGGTCTAAATCAATAGAAATCATGAAATCAAAGCTCGACATTGCTAAGCTTGGAAAACAAATATCACAATCTCTGTTTCACTGACAATTTCCTCTTTTTCTTCACAAACATACTTCTATACAACCGACATAAAACCAAGTTAGTTTAACCCTTAACACCCTAATGTCATTATGCATATTCTCCATACTGTTCTTTATACATTTTCTAAGGTGCTCATAAGGAGATTTTGTTTACTGTTCTCTTGTTGGTAATCATTTCCTTCATTCTCATGACCTTACTGTGTGATTCAGGGGTGATATTGCAGTTAGAAATTAGATGCAAGTCACTCTTAGGGTTTAAAAGGTTAAAAAGCTCCTTCCTACAAAATAAAGAACTGTTAAAAGACAAAATAAACAAACATGATCAAGTGAAAAAGCCAGCCATGTAGCCTTCACGTCACACTGAGCCTTCACAGTTGTTGTTTTTAAAACAAAAGCTTGAAAATAAGGTAATCAGATGTATGCAGGGGGGCTTGTGTGAGCAGCTAGCAGAATGGGATCGTCAACAGCTCAAGTGTATTCAGTTCTCTGCAAACTTCCCATGCATGTAACAAATGGAAGATGCTAAAAAGAAAAACCAGATATAGCGTTGATAGTGTCCCTATCTTTTCATGTTAAACAAGAAAAGTTCATATGCTTTTTACCTAGAACAATTTTACCTTGTTTCCCTAGGACAAGTCAAGTCAACTCATGCAAATCATGTCAATCGGTCAACATTTATTACCCTTCATTTACTACCCTTGCTTATAGGGTATAACTTTGTTTTTCTACAACTCAGCATCAACTTAACCAAAAATGCATTGAGTCAACCCAAGCAAATCATGTCAATTTTTTAACATTTACCACCACCATTTAACCCTTAAATGTGTATTGTATTCTTCTGCAAATTGATTTTGGGTGAAATGGATCTACTTATGAACTAAAAACAACTCAACCCCTGCGTATCATGTAGATTTGTCAACATTTACTAAACCAATTAACACATGAGTGTTTATCGTGTTCTTCTGCGGATTGACTTCCAATGCAGATTGACTTCACTATAAACAAGTCAAGTCAAACCATACAAATTGTCACTTCCTCAATATTAGTACCCCCATTTAACACTTAAGTTTGTATTGTGTTCTCGAGCAGATTGACATGCGGTGAGATGGATCTTTTCAACAAAAGATGAGTCAGGTTGACCTGAGTGAATTATCCCAATTCTTCCACATTTATTACCCTCTAACACTCAAGTGTGTCATGGTGATCTTCTATGATTGGACTTACAGTGAGACCAATCGACTTAACTGAAGACAAGTTGCGTTAATCTGTGTTCTTCTGTGATTTGACTTACAGTGAGACAGATCGACATAACCAAGGACGAGTCAAGTTGAATCGAGTCAAATTGTGTGCAGGTTCATCAATATTATCTTCTCATGCAAATTGACTTCTGGCTGTTTCACGCTCAAAGAACAAGGAAGGTTCAAGTTGCCACTATCACACTAGCTTGTGCCCCCCAGCTACCAGCATGTTAACACAATTCAACTTCCGCAGGGTAGATTAATCAACTACCCCTGATGAACCAAGTCAGTGGGGTGTATTGGACATGTATGCAAATAAAAACAAAACAACTTGTGGACCGTTGCATCTGTGGAAAATATTCACCAACATTCAACTAGCACTCTAGCTCATTTCCACAGATGAATCCTGTCACTGCATTATTGCTATGTTCTCAAGAAACCTGTACTGATTCACAGCCAAAACAATGCAACCCTGATCATGTATGCAAGAAAGACAAACTCAAAACGGAAATCCATGGGGCGAAGCGGCGGAAATTGAAGATTCATGAAATATTCAAACACAATGGAAATTTCAAAGTCTCTCCAGCAGAAATGTTGCCTTAGAATACCTCAAGACTTTATTGTAGCCTCTATTTTGCTATTATAAAACAGATGCATGTCATTGACTTGGAGAGATTACCTCACAAAACACTAATTAGTGATATTAAAGCCCCATTCAAACCGCTACAACTTGTTTTGAATCGCGAGCAAAATCAAGAGTTCACCATTTTAAGCTAAGAAACAATACCTTTCGCCATTTCTTGCTAGCGAGGTGTTTCTCGACACGGATGCTTTGAAACTTAATTGTTAGCTTCAGTGATCAAAAAGGACAAATTCCTCTCCGAACTCGTCTGAAGAAGTAGAATAAATTATAAATTGGGTTCAGCTGGGTAAATGAACTGAAAAGCTTAGTTATGCAAATATCTAGATGGCCTGGAGAGACAAGAAACACCGGAATGAGTAATGTAGTTTCCGCAGCTGAACCTCTAAAAGAATAACTATTGTCCAAAAAAACACTCTTGGTTTATAAGCACTTCCTAGCCCTAGGCATCAAACCGCTTGTAGTGTACGATGTAGCTTACAGCCAGCGCCTAAATATCTTACGTTAACCAAGGCAGCTTAATTAGCGTAAATCTTTTTATTGATGTCTCGAGGACAGACTTGATTTCGCATGGCGAACGAACTGATGCAACTTTTGTAATTGGTTCGCATAAACATGGCTATGGTCTAACTCAGTAATACTCACGAGGAAGATTGATTCACGATATTCCATACGATGAAAGGGCGATACCGAGTAAACGAAATCAACTTTGATAAGATATTAAAAAAACACTCACCTTCGATCGAACACTTAATCGCAATCTTCTGACGTACTCGATCACACTCAGGCCTGTTTTCTCCCTTGCGGTCACGTTTTCAATCAAATTTTCTCCCTGAGTGAGTCAACATCTGAGCAAGACAAAAGTTCTATTCTTGAAAAGCAATTGAAAACGTCTGAAATATAGAAACAGCACGACCTTTTCAGCTCATACGGGAAGTCACGGCTGAAATTGGCTACACACGAACGCTAGCTGTCAATCATTTGTTAAGCGAAAGCCGCGGGCAAGACGCGGGAAGCTTGCTACTTGTCAAAGCTTCTCGAATCTTCTCTAAATGTTTACTCAAGATAATCTCTTTGTTTTTCTCAATTAGTAGCCTCATGATACGTCAATTATTTGCGTTGACGTTTTAATGAACAAAAGATCCACTAGTTTTGCACGGGATAGATATTTGATCCGTCGAGGCATGATAATTTATGCAGTAACAATAAACAAATATACCCTTTAGAACAAAAACAGGAATTTAAGGTTGTAAGAGCATATCCATCTCTTTTTAAAGGAGGGTTAGTATTAATTGTGAAAAAAGAAAAAGAAAGTAGAAGAGTAACCCAAAAAACTCAGGAAGGAATAGAATGTCACATTGGGGGAGAGAAAAACACCACCACCCATCCCCTCATTCCCTCTTTCTGCCCTCATGTTTTCTCAACACAGTCGAATAAGGAAAACCAACAACAGTTTTATATTTTTGCGTGGTTTCCTTTTGTACGCAATATCTGCTGATTTTTTTCCCTTTGCACGCGCGAATCTGCGCGAGATCGCGCGAGTAGTATCGCGATTGGCATGCTTTGCATAACAGCAAACGTCCCAGTCAAGGGTTCAGAAACAAGATGGACGACATATATGCTGATTAAAGTTAAAAAAAAACTTAAATTTGCAGCTATGATTTCAACATTAAACTTAAAAACACTTTCTAGACTGACTCTTTCTCAATGCTTTGTGACAAGAAGCCTTCGAACCAGCGCGATCGCTGTTCAAAACACGCAGAAGAAAGAACTTGGCGATCGACAAAGGCTGGTCATCTTGGGAACTGGTTGGGGAAGCTACAGCGTGTTGAAACAAATCGACAAGAAACTATTTGATGTTATTGTGGTCAGTCCTCGTAACCACTTTCTTTTTACACCGCTGTTGTGTAGCACAACCGTAGGAACGTTGGAATTTCGAAGTATCATCGAGCCGGTGAGAAACACTGGCTTTAGAGACGAGCATCACTTTCAACAAGCAGAGGCCGTAGAGTTGCTTCCAGATGAACACACGGTGGTCTGCAAGAGTACTTTGAACGGTGATCGATACGATTTGAAGTACGATAAACTGGTCATTGGCGTAGGAGCTGTTAGCAATACATTTGGCGTTCCGGGCGTTTACGATCATGCCTTCTTTCTCAAGGAAATTTCGGATGCAAGGATGATCAGGAATCAAATTCTCAAAAATTTTGAATTGGCCATGCAGCCCGGCGTCAGCGAAGAAGAGAAAAAGCGCCTGCTACATTTTGTCATAGTTGGGGGTGGCCCCACTGGGGTGGAGTTTGGTGCTGAGTTGTATGACTTTGTGAAACAAGATGTGACAAGGCTGTATGTTCATGAGCGCAGCAATGTGAGAGTGACTCTGATTGAGGCAAGGCAGATCCTGCCATCTTTTGATGAAAAACTCAGAACCTTTGCAGAAAGCAAGATGAGACAGAGAGATCAGTTTGAACTTCTCCAGAGCAGTGTAACTCAAGTATGTGCTGATCACATTCAGTTGAAAGATGGAGAAAAATTGCCTTGTGGTTTGGTGGTGTGGTCAACTGGCCTTGCTCCAAGGCCATTCACTGGTAAGCACCGCAGGCTTTGGAGTCTTTATCAACTGAAGTTAACCCTTTAACTCCCAAGATCTGACTAGTAATTTTCCCCTCTCGTTGCTACACATTTCCTTGTCAATTAGTTATGAGAATTTGGTGTTAGATCAAGATAACAATTTGTACCTGATAAGTTTGATTGTTCTCAGAACCTGTTTGCTATATAATGTATGGAAATTATAGGGAGAAATTACATGTTCATCACTTCTGGGAGTTAAAGGGTTAAAAGTAATGAAGGATTGCTTTGGTTTTCATGTCACCTTGTTCTTTGATTGGTCTAGAAAACTTTTGTCATCCTCATCAAATGAGATGCACATATTCTTTGGATTTGATCATTCATATAAATTTTGAAGGGTTTAGGCAGCTTTTAAGTACTTAGTTTGAATTCTCATTAGCTCTTTATGTTATTTTTTTTGCTTTGATTGCCTATCATAATCAAGCTTTCATATATAAGCTAGCACTTAGAGAGAAGGTGGACAACAGGTGAGAGAGCAGATGAGGGGGAAGAGAGAATCTGCAGGGGACTGACCAACTACCTTTAAACCTCTTTTATATTAAATTGAAGCTCTGCTCTGTATGTCAAAAGAAATCTGAAAAAACAGACAACTACGCACAAAGCTGTAATTGCAGAAACATTTTATTTAATTACAAAGTATGCCAGTATAGGAGTAATAATGTTTTTTGTGTCTCCCCTCCATTTCTAAATCAAATTGGATTGGAAAACAAAATGCGATTACTCCATTCATTATTTTGCCCTGTTTGAGGGAAGATTTGTCAATAACACAAATGACCAAAAAAGTTAACAGATGGGGTCATTAGAATTTACATACAAAAACAGGAGCATGAGAACATAACATAAATTTAAAAAGGATTAACAGGCTGCACAGCTAGCAGTATTGTCTGCTCATCACCACACACACAAGAGCAACACATCCTTTCAGCAATAAGGGGCTAGGAAGGGAGAAACTTAAAAATCACAAGTTCAAGTTCTATGTAAGAGAAGAATGTGTGTTTATCAAAAATACAGACTATGTATCAGAGCTGACACCTCTGATTACTGCACGTGGGTTTGCAAGCTAACTTAGCTAAGTAACCCAAAATCAAACCAGAAAGACAGTGATGATCTATTGAAAACTAGATACCCATCACTAGCTAGATTTCGACAATGTTTGCTCATGTCAAACCTTATGAAAAGTGACAAGTGATCAAATAGCTACTTTTTTATTTGTAGTTTCAATTAAATTTTTTTTCGCATTTATTTTATTTTAGCTTCAGTTAAACTACCCAAGAACAACAACAGTCAGCTGGTAGTTGATAAGTTTCTCAGAGTCCAAGGAATTGATGATGGCTCAATATTTGCAATTGGCGACTGCTCCTTTATTGAGGCCAATCCATACCCCTGCACTGCCCAGGTAGCAGAGAGGGAGGGCAGCTATGTGGCCAAATCCCTGGGGCTCTCAGCTCAAGGGAGGGGCTCAGAGGTGGAGCCCTTTTCCTGGAGGAACATTGGTATGCTGGCTTATCTTGGAGATTATCAAGGACTGGCTGATTTTCCCACAAGCAAGTTGCAAGGCTTTAAATCATGGATTCTTTGGAGATCAGTGTACTTTACCAAACTTGGGAGCTGGAGGTTGAGATTTCAGGTACCTTTTGATTGGATGAGAACCTTCATTTGGGGCAGAGATGTTTCTCAGTTTTGAACAGACCTTAACACTTTCACTCCCAGATCTCAATAGTAATTCTCCTAACTGACTACCATATAACTGTTAGGATGTTAGTTTGGAGAATTTAGTGCATCCCTTTGTTCTCATCACTTTTCTGTTCGATATAATGCTAAGGGATTAATGATAAGGGATTTATATAGCGCTAAAACTATAAAAAATATTCAGAAGCACTATTGTACTAATACTGCAAGGAGAAATTCTGTCTTGGTCAGTCATGGGAGTTAAAGGGTTAGCAGTTTGCCCTAAAAAAGTGTGTAAGCAATGGGATAGGCACAAGACTGGTTAATGTTAGGATAACAGTCACGTTTCATGCATATATGGAACAAGGAAGAGGAACTGTAACTCAAATTCTGGAATGCTCACAAGTACAGCTCTTTTCAAATTCTCTTTCAGCATCACAAATTAATTTCTATTCACATGAACTAACTCAAGGTAAAGGCAAGTGTGGGTAAAACAAGTTTTGTACAGTAAAATATGTAAATATGTTTATATAAATATAAATACAATGCATAATAAGAGAAGCACAATGTATGAACCAGCTCTTCAAATGTATTTTTATCTTTACATAAACTGAATACTTTATCATGAATTCATTTTTATTCTAATTTAATATTTGGTAGTTCAAACATCAATTTATTGGCCAGAGATTGTAATTCACATACATTTTGCATGAAGGCATCAAGTGAGCATAATAATATGTCTTTATTGCATGCATTAAATATGATAATGAAGCAATTGAGTCGACCTTAATTTTTTTAAAAGCTTGTGACATCTGCAACATATAGACTAGAATTATCACATTCTATTCTAATTCAATAAACTACTGTTACACAACAGAGATCTAAATCTTGCATTTATAGATTCATTCAGTGTCAATAAAGTAGTCAGTTTAGTAATCATTTTAGCATGGTTTGTAATGTTTTCAAACTGCCTGAATTGTTTGGAACAAATATAGTAGATGTACCTTTTTTAACCTCGTAGAGTGGTTTAGATAGTTTTGCTAACTTAATTATGCTTGCTTTCTCTCTCAGTTTATTGCGCATTGTATTTGCTCTCCTGGACCTTTCCAGTTTCCCCGAATTTTTCACTTTTGCATAAGCATGCATCACACCCAGGTGTCAATGTGTTAGAGAATATCTCTAACTGACTTCAAGGGGAGCAGGGGCCCCACTTGACTAAATAACAGACACGTACAACCAGGCAGTAGTTTATAAAAATATCCTAACTTAAATATTAAGTGATCATTGCTCTCTCTCAGTTAATAATTCAGATTAATTTGATGAATTTGATTTTAAATCTAGTTTGTTGACTGTTACCTTAAAATGTTTCTTCCCACAGCTTCGTGCAGTTAGTAAAACGAAGCACAAAAGTACACAGCGCGATTGTAGCAGAGGAGTGAAGAACGAGGGAGGTTTGGGTCGGGTCGCGTAATTTGCGCGACCCGTCGCAAACCTCTCTCGCTTTTTACTCTGCCTCTACAAAACATCGCGCCCTTTACTACTTTGCTACGCTTTACTAGCTGAACGCCCGGAACAGGCCACCCTCAGTTCAGATATTATAGCAAACTTTAATGATTGAATACAGATGTACTCTTATTTGGAACGGTTTGTCAAATGAGGCTGAGAAAACAATTAGTTTAAGCAATTTTGTTATGCAATAATACATCGGATACGATTTATTATGAGACATTTTTTATTATGAGACATTTCTTAAATTAATTAACTCTTACAGTAATAATAATTATAGCGTTATTATATTTTCCAGCAGTCGTAGTGAACGGCTACTTGGGAGAGCACTTGTTAGTGATAATGGAAACCGTGGACAGATAAAATAATACATTTTTCATGCCGTGTTGCATTTGGGTTCACTTGTATTCTCCAAAGAAAGTCAATGAAACTAGTGTCCCTTCTAGTACAGGTCATAGGAAGCTCCAGCTCTTGTTCAATCATTTTCACATACTTGACCGTCCAACTCCCGTGAGTGACCACGACAGAATTTCTCCTTAGTATATCAATACAATATCATGCAGACAAGTGATGAGAATAAAGAGAAATATCAATTATGGGATTACTAACTAATCCGATACCAAATTCTCCAAATTAACATAATGAGAATCATTTGGCAGACAGTAAAGAGAATTACTAGTGAGATCTTGGGAGTTAAAGGGTTGATCAGTGGCGATAAAAATAGCAGTTTCACAATTTTGAGGTTTCTATATTTCTCTCAATGACTGCTAACAAAAAAGGGTCGGAGCTCCTTTAAAATGAGTAAAATCTTGACGACCTGTTGATTATAATTAAAATAGTATTTCAATGACCTTGTCATGTTTGTGTTCCATCTTACAATTCCGACAATACGGCCCAGCACCAAACAGTCCTACAGCACTCTTGACTACACCGCACGATGGGAATCAACTGCTAAATCGTCTACTGTTAGTCTGCTGCTCAATAACACTGGAGGGTCACAAGCAAAGGACTGATCTACTCAAAAGAGAGAATTGCTCCAAGAGCAAAACACCTGAGGTAAGCTGTAAGGATCGTTTTCCGAATCGGTTTACAAACAGCACACCTAAGCCATCTTTTCCCAGATTACTTAGAAAGAGAAACGATAAACAACCAGGGCATCACACAAAATTACAATAAACCTGATGACATGAAGAGATCTTGATCCACATTCAATTTTTCCCCTTTTGTCAGCTTAAAATAGTTAAGTGACTTGACTGGACCCTAACGTCAGGACGGGACAAACGGATGACGCTGGAAATGTCACCTATCTAAGAATAGGCAATCACCTAGGAAAGAATTAAGAAGTCATAAAGTCATGTTTTTGAATGAAGAAGCCTTAAAGTATTCAGCGTTTTCTAATAATATTTGCAAGACCATCTTTCTCAGTTTTATACATTGTGGTCAGAAATAATCAGTTATGTGAAAACTTTGATCTAAACGCTCGTAAGTGGCGATACAAGCAAATGTTGACATCAGGGGGACGTACAGAGGTCATCCGCTCGGGTGGTGCATAAATTTAATCACTTACAGCCCCGCCCTCTGCTGCAAATGTCAAATGATGTCATGAGTTGCTGTCTTCCGATCGGCTAAACTAAGACAAATGATCGCAATGTCGGCAGTATAATTTCGTTTAGCTTTGGAGAAATTTTGTCGGAAATGAATTTGACTTACTCCATGTTAGCCCTATGGCCAATTGTTGTCCTCTGGTCATTTAGAGCGTCAGTTGGGCAAATTAAAAGAGGCACTGACAATTGGAGTTCTGCCCCTCAAGCCGGGTACGATCCAAGCACAAGGTTTCACCAGAGATCACCAGTCTACAACCTTAAACATGAAGTGAATACCTCAAGCAGAGCGATACCACTCCAAAGCGGACTTGGAAGCAAATGGACTGTTCTTCAAAACTGGAGCCCTCCTAGAACAAAAACGTTATCTACGTCCAGTTCTAGAATGAAAATACCTGCATTGGCATCGCGATTTGAGAAAGGAGCTAACAGTAGACCTTATGTTCCAAAAGTATGGAGTTCACCGAGACCGAATCTTTATCAAAGAAGATTCTATAGCCCCAGACGTAGATCTAAGATCACAGCCACTGTTTTGGGACCAGCAAAGACAAATGGATACAGGCACAATATCTATCAATATTGGAACCATCCAAGCCTAGGCCCTCACCAAAGACCTGACCAAACTCCGAAGCGAGAAGTGCAGAAGACGCGATTTCCATTCCAACTCCAGTATGATGTTAGAGAGTATGGTGATGTTAGCCGAAATCCCAACCAGAAACTGACCTATGATGCAGCTGACTATCCACCAATCTGGAACCGTCAAACAGCTACTCCTGTCGATAAGCAGTTTCGTGTTGCCAGAGATAGCATCAGAAAGACAAGTTCGCCATTTGTTGGCCAGAATGGTTTCAGGAAAGGACAAAAACTTCGTAAAGACTGGATCCCTCTTAAACCCGGACTTTTTATTCCACTTTATGGTTCCGCAGCAATGACGAGAAACTTCCCCATGATAATGCACACTCGCGTAGGCCTGAATCCATATGAATCGAGTATCTCGCCCAAAGTTCCCAGCTGTTTGTTTAAAATGCAGCGCAATCGAATATCTCACATCAAAAAGATGAGCAGAATTCCAGCTCGTGCGTTAATTTTGTCCTCAGAAAACGGGAGGGCCACTCCAGGCCTCTACATACCAAGCTTAGCAAATAACTACCATCAGCGAGAATTAGCATTGCAGCGAGAGTTAGAATCTGAGTCCAGTCAAGATCTGAAAAATGCATATGACAGCAGTGACACTGCATTTGCAAACGTGTTAGGAGAGGTTAATCTTGGTGGAAGTAACTTGATTTCTGAGAGTGCACTGAACCAGCCGGCCTCGTCGAATTCAGGGTACAGGACATCCGGAGCAGAAGAAGAAGGAAGACCAGTACCAAGAACTTCGTATGGAACTACGAGCTACATAAGAAGGAAAAGCAGACTAAATGATCCGAAGCTGATCAGGTTAAGGCACATTCTTCGTTATATGAAGAAGCGGAGTCTTGATCTAACGAAAGCTCACAGAAATGATGACTTAAGTAGCTATACGCTAGGAGAAACACAAATATTGCACGATTCAAATGATGCTCGTCTTTTTGATAAACGTAACGTCAATGACGAGATAGAGAAGAGATTTTCCATGCGTAAAGCGAAGGGAAGACGGAACTGGGGCGCTCACAATGAATTTGCGTCTAACGTTACGCGGGCATCTATGATTTTATTAAAGCAAAGAAAGCAGAACATGCACAAAAGGGCACTTCAGCTGCCAGATGATCTTTTTCGAAACTCGACTGCAAAAATCGCGAAGGGGAGGTCACCTGGGACTGCAACAGTTGAAGGTGTACCAGCGGTTTTGAAAAAGGACAAGAAAAAGGAGAAGTCACCTTCGTTATCACCAGAAAACGTTTCGTCAAATATGCATCATGCGCTTCATCCTAGCAAACGAAAGAAAAATAAACAAAAACATGGTAGGAATTTCATAAATGTAAACGGCGGTGGAATATACTTCAATACAAGAAACGCGTACCTAAATCGCCACTTAGCGCCTTTTCATGACAATGGTGCGACAGAAAGATACGAGCCATTCTTCAATACTAGAGGGCCCTTTGAAGCCCACCAAATGGCGATGGCGAGACGTATGCGTGCAATGCGGTCACGTGGGTTGTTTCATTCCTTAGGCAATATTAACCCACGGTTTTTTTCTTACAGTCCATTTCGGTTTCCATTGATGCCTATGCCTCAGCAGTTTATGGCAATGCAACGATTTGGATTACCAGTACGAAATTTTCCATCTGAGTACAGGACGCTACCTTTTCCGTCGACCCAGAATCATTTTGGCATTCCTTGGTACATGAGAGTGCAAAACAGGCTGACAGAGACACAAGGAGGGGAGACTGAGGAGGTCGAAAAAGCAACTCCACATGACTCCCACGACCAAACTGTAATACCGCAAACCAGTGAAGGTTTCAAGACTTCAATCTCCTCACAAGTAGGCAAAGGCAACTACGCTGAAAGCTTTCAAAGCCCTAAGACAGAACTATCCTCCCAGATCCTTAAAATAGAGAACAATAGGGCATTTGAAGGGCAGCCTATACTTAACGCAGAAGGCGTCGATACTAGTAATCCAGGCCTAGACGGAAAGGCGACGAATGTGCAGTTGACGGGAATCCAAGTGACAGATCAATCAGCCACCATGCTCAACAAGTGGTACCCTCTGCGCAAAGGCAAAGTTTCACTTATGTCTGATCCTCGAAAGTATACCTCTCAATGGCCATCTCGTCTCCCAGGATTAGATTTGGTTGCTACTTCTGACAGCCTTCGGTCAAGAGATGACTTTCCAGCCATATATACGCCTGGAATTTTCAATGCTTTTTACCCTAAAAATTATCAGAATTATCGTTCTCCTCCTTATAAAGATGATGTCTCAGAAGAGGGTAACATGGGAGTGGAAGAGTATATCCGGGGTACTGAGACACCGCCGACTGTACCATCTGTGAATCAAGGCTTTAAGTTTCACGGCATATTGGGTCAGGAATATATTCCAAGTCCTGTTCCATATCATACATCCCCATTCAAGAATCACTTTTATAAAAATTTTCCGAACCTTGGAAGGAGACGAATTGTCAGGAAACGTGAGGTTCGCCGTGATAAGACACATGCCCATAAACACCATGAAGTGTTTAATGGGCCATTCTCTTATGGGCGCCGAAGAAAGTTTAAGTCAAGTTTTAAATTATTGGACACAAACCAAAGGGAATATTCGAAGATAGAAGCGGGAGGCACACAAGCACATTTAAATGAGACAGATATTCACAACAAGAAAACAGTTTCAGGTGAGTATTCCTCAAAAACGAAATAAATGGAAATAGAAGATCAACACGAAGTTTTCTAAATACGAAGCGTTATTTCATATAGGATCTAAAATCGTTCTCTTCTTTTCTTCTCTTTTTTTTTCAGTTGCTAACGACCCAAGAACACAAATAGTCTATCCCGTGGAGGATCCAATGAACGAGATCTTGAGCAAAGGATATTCAATAGCGCCTAGATCGTATGGCGTAGACGTTTCACCGGGAATTGCACCATGGCCCTTAACATATACTCCCGTTGTACCACAGCAAATTTTTCGACGCTTTCCATTGCTCGCTTTTCCAAAGGGCCCGCCACTATCATTGATGGAACTCTCTCAAGAGGTAGATCAGTTCCCAGACAAAGTCTCAACCGGTACAAACACTCCATATGATACAAGCCGACAGGCTTCATACACAGGCAATGGTCCTGCAAGGTCGTGGCAAGAAGTCGGAAATCAGCCAAATACTGTCAGTGCAACTTTGAATATTCTTCGTAGTCAAGAGGCTTTGGGATCCTCTGAGAAATCCACAGAGGAGATGCCAAGGGACGAAGGGAGTGAGGAAAATGAAACCGGCCAGAAAGGATCTCAGTCTTCAACTTTTTCACTGAACGCGAATGGCTTCCCAGAAATACTCCAACAGTCCATACCGGGGTTTGCAAGCCATAGCTACTCGGAATTTCCAGAAGAAGCTGAACAGGCTACGCCAGGAAACGAGCAGCTCAAAAAAGGCACTCATGGTTTATCTGATGGAGAAGAATCATATTCGGAAGCGGGGAAATCCATTGTTGACGGGGAACGAAATGAGGATGGAGAAAGCGACTCAAATTTCACTCCAGGATTACTTGGCGGCTTAGATACCATGCAGACAGGTTTACTCAAGCAACAGTTTGATAGCACCCCTTCCCCGAAAGGGCGAGTAATGGTTAGTTTTCGTACATTTGGGCCTCACCAGGAGGGAAGGAGACTACATTCTCCTACATCAGCCGAACGAGAAAGAGCTGATTTACGCCAAAATGTTAAGGCACCTCAGAATTCTCTTTTGCAGGAACGGGCTACATTTAGCACTAATCGAGATGTTCACAAAAATGTTCCAGAGGGTCTTCAAGAAAATGGTTTTGATGCGACAGTCCCAGGAAGAAATAGCCACATGCTGACTCTGCCGAATCTTTCTTTAAACTCCATCGAAAAACTAATCGATTCAGCGGCTGAGGAACAATCGGCAATTGATGACAAAACAAGTACAGGCCATAGTTATGGTTCACGTTGGAGGGGTGAGGCAAATGAACAATTTAATGATGACAATCTAAGTAATCATGGTTATCCTGCTAAATTAGGTCAAGGCGTTCTCAAGAAAAATGGGGAAAACATACACAATTTAGACTGGAAATCGCCTCTCCTAAGTCAGTCACAGGCACCCTTCGATTTCAATTGGAAACTTGAAAGAGCTCTTACACAATGGAAAGGACCAGCCTATTCAAGACCAGATACCGCTAATATGGAAGGGAATTTGGCAGATGATCAGCCTGAAAATGCCTTTGTGAAACCGAAAGGATCAAATGATAACCCCGATGTTGTTCCCGGCTATACATTTGATACTCAGGGACAACGCTCCGTGCCGCTCTTTCTGCCTAACCCACCATCCGACCTTGCTGATGACAGCAATGCAGAAACAGTGTTGATGGTACCTGCACCAGGAAACAAGGCAAAAGAAGAAGCAGATTCTACGAAATCTGGTGCAAAAAAGGAAACCATTTTTAACAAAACGAGCCAAAAGAAAACATTTAGGGGCTAGAGAGAGAATGTTAAAGATTTCTTGTGTCTTTAAGTATTACAAATTTTTAACTATTAGTTTTGAAAATACGTTCTTCATATTCCGCATCTGAAGAGTCTAAGATTGAAGACACCCATTAATCAACATAGGATATACATTAATTTCGTTTGCTCAGAGTAACTTCCTATTGAGATTCTGCTAGCGCAACAATAGCATAAAAGTATATTAAATAAATATTATATATAAGTGAAGGAATCAAAGACGACGCATCGATTCTCTGTTACTCTGAGTTTCGCGCCTAAGCGCTCGTCAGACAGAACTTTATTCATTGAAGAACATACCTCCCTATATACAAATTAAATGAGTAGCTAATTAATTCACTAGTGTGATGATCTGATCTATGTGAGAAATAAAGATTCTATAGAGCTATTGTTATCGGCTTGGAAATTTGCCAAGTAAAACTTGTTCTCGTGGCGGCATTTAGAAATGAGTTCTGTTCTTT